CGACACTTCATCCAATGGAGAGGCGTCGAGTGTCCATTATGGACACCCTTATGTTGAGTGTAATGTACCACTTGCACAACCCTTATAAGGTATTGAGTGCTATTAGCAAAATGTTACTATACTAAGGGTGTGTTTGATCCACATTATTTTGAAAAAATGTATTCTGAAATAATAGATTGATGAAAAATTTGTGATTGAAAAAGAAAGAAAAGTTATTGATGTGATGAAAAATATTATTTTATTGAAGAATGTGTGGTTGAAAATGAGTAGAAAATTTTAGTGTGTACCAGACAGGAGCTAAATATTGAAAACTATTTGATGCCTATTTCACTTCCTTTTATTTCTTCAATTGGGAAGATAATTTGACTGCTCAATCTTTTTAAGGGAAAAAAAATATATTTTGAGTAGAATTGAACTCACAATATAATAACTTAAACTCGAATTTTGATCAAATCAATCTTGAAATTCGAGTGCTTATTTTTTGAGTTTCAATCAAATCAAATTACTCGTTAAAATGTAAAATGATTCCTGAAATACTCAAAGCCTAACACACGATTCATATATTGAAATACTTAAATTGATCCACCCGAAATCCAGACATAGGCCAAAGGTCACCCAAATCGTCACATTACACAACCATGTTACATTTAGGCTTTAGCTCATGAGTTACACTTTTTTCTTCCTCGTGGCTATATCTACACCATTAATTTTGACCACAACCATCTTATCATTACCCAAATTTCTTCCACGTAGGCGATACAAAAGAAGTCGTATTTAACACGAGACTAGGCCGATGTTTAAGCCACATTAAAATTTTCATTTTCATTTTTCTACTCATTTTTAACTACACATTCTTCAATACAATGAAATTTATTCCTTTTCAACCAGATATTCTTCGTCAATTTACTATTCCAAAATACATTCTTCCAAAATGACGGGGGTCAAACACATCCTAGGCATCAAACATAGGATCAAATTAAATCCTTAAACTAGGTCCATAGCATTATTCATATAATTATTAGCATTATCCGTACAACTCGTGGATGAAAATTGATTTACTCAAAAGATAATATATACCCACAGACCATACGGTACAAAGTTGAAATCCAAGCATCGTGAAAAAATAGACAGACAGACAGACGACAGAAGAAGGGTGGGGAAGGGAGAAATAATCAGAAAAACTCTGTACAATAATAACTATCGGCTATGGCGAAGAAGCTCTGATAAACCTGGGACTGGAAGGAGGAGAAGCAAAAGGTAGATTTCTGAGGATGAGAAAACGAACTCGCCGAGGAAAAGGCAGCGGCGCCTGGTGGAACAGGTGCTCCAACACTCTGGCCAGCAACACCGTGTACTCCTCCAGAAACTCCGTCAGTAGCGACACCAGTATCATGATTTCTTTTTCTAATCACACACTTTTCGCAGAAGTCTTAAGTCTTAACTCTCGAACTAACAAAAATGATGATTATAAATAGGAGTGAGTAAGATTCCTTTTTTCGGCTGCTGTCAAATCCCAGCGGCGGAGAGAGATTGAGCAATCCTTTGTGCTGACATCTGTTTTACGACACATTGTTTGCATTATTTTATTTGGTACTTTATTTTCTTCATCCTTATCCGTTAACTTCGAGAAGCCCATTTCAACCATACATCTGTTTTATGATACGTTCGTTGTATTATTCTCTAACAAACAGTTTTCTTGATTCCACTTCAAAACTACTTTTGTATTATTATTTATATTTCACGGACTTAAATTCAAATTTTGCTCAAATAAAAATGTCTAAATTCACTTTCTCCTCTTGATGATGTGAAAAAATATATAAATTTACATTTTTT